GAGAGAGAGAGAGAGAGAGAGAGAGAGAGAGTGACAGCAAAGAGCCTTATCCTCCATTAATAACAGCCACTAATCCCCTGATGTGATTACCTCTTCCTCCCTCCCTCCTCCTCTACTTTACCCCCTCTCCCTCCATCCTTCTCCCATTCAACAGCGCCAGCCACTTGTCTTCTATGGCAGAGCTCAGCTGGTCCAATCCCCTGAACAGATCCAAGACTTCCACTGTGTTCAGCTGCCAGGACGATGGAGGTCTTCCAATTTGACGCCTCTCCTTACTAGAACTCGCCTCTGGGCAGGTGTATAAAAAAGCAAAAGTCAGTGGCGCTAGCACAGAGAAAGGAAGCAAATTTAAACAGATTAAGACCCATGCCTCTGTTCAAAGCTCTGACACTTAATGCCGCCTGAATGAGAGGTGACGTGTGATATGAATCGTACAAGATATGGTTTTGGATGTTCAAACGTTTATGGAAATATCTGCAAGCATTAAGGATTACGGGTGTGCAAAAGGGAAGCAACAAGCATGTCAGTATAGCTATTTCTGTCCTCAATGACTAGCTGCCAAATGCAATTTTTTTTTTCCAGCATTTGATAAACTCGCTACATCAATATAAAGTCTAGTGTGTTTCTATGGAAACTTAGACCTCTGAGAAGGTTGAAATTTGCCACTTAGCTCAAGATCTGCTCAGTAATAACATGCTGTAATAAATCTTTACAAGGTGTTCACTTTACATATGCATCACGGAGGGAGTTCAAAAGATGAAAGCATGCCTTTACATTTATCAAATCATTTTTTTTGGAAATCTTTGTCAAAAAACAAAAGTGAAGTCACGGATTTTGCAAAGTTTTTCAAAGTTGTATGGTTCTGTTTCTTTTTCTTCTTTTTTTTTTAACTTTACCTGTCTGAATAATCGAAACATGACTCTCTATCCTCAATACATATTAAAAAATAAATAAATAAAAAAAAAATGTGGAGCACAGATGAATACTATTATACTGTGCACACACTGAGAGCTACACATGCACACCAACACATGCACACAGGCTGATGGGTCCTTTGGGAAAACGACAGCGCGGTACAACGTTGTACTTTGTTTACTTGGTCTACTTGGTGAGGTCTCCATGGTAACTGTTATGTCTGACCTTCAAACATGTGCGCTGCCTTCCATCTGGCTCAGGTTGGCTAATCAGATCACATCAACACACACACACACACACACACACACACACACACACCAAACAAATGCACTGTCAGATCCCATTATGAAGGAGGTGATTTTTAGATTCACGTCATTCTCAACTTACGTTTGTTATCAGTTCTGTCATTTCTTTGAATTTTATCCCACTCACACGGAACTTTTGGTCCTGATTTTTGGGATTACCATTTCGCCTTGTTTTCATTTGCACACTGACAGGCGTGCTTTGGCTCTAACAAGATGAAAAGTTCCCTTTGAGCTGCTGTAGTTTGCAGGGGGCTTGGATAAAGACTTGAATCAATTAGTGCTTCTTTCATCAGCAAATAGGCCGTACCCCAGCACTCTGCATGCTTTCACAGACTGCCTCTGTGCCCCCCTTCTCTCTCTTTTTTTTTTTTTTGTTCCACCTCAACTCCCTGCCCCTTTCATTTCTGCTCTGTTCAATACTCTCATCTGCTCCGTTGTTCTCGAGTTCAGAAGGCGCTCCAGAAGGGCCAACATCTGGCAGCTGCGTAGGCCCAGGGCCGTGCATCCGTTCTGGGGCAACGAGGCCTGGAGATCAGCCCCTCCTGTGGAGCTGAGTCTTTGGTGTATGTGGTACCATTCAGTCTCCACTTCCTGAGTGTTAGTGCCTTGATGTGGCCAGAACCATAGCGCATGATTTATTACAGCGCTAACTCCGTCCCCACTGCTAGTACTGCCATTATCATAACCATACACTCCCTCCTCCGTCCTCAATATCCCACCTGCAGCTTCACACAGAAGCCTTCGCAGACACAGCTGACACAGCGCTGCGCGGCTTACATAAGGAGTGTTGTGCTGTTGCCCGAATGGATGTTTGGCCTCAGATGTTTAAAGAGGGCGGGGAGCCATGCAGTGAATGAGGTGACAAAACTGCTGGAGTGATGACACATATTGTAAACTGACTGGAGGTCAGCGAGATCAGCTGTTTCCATTTGTGTATCCTGTCCTCGTCCTTTGTGTATTGGCTACTGGTTTGTTGCTCTATGCGGGTAACTGGTGGCAGGCATGGTCCAAGAAGAACCGATGCGGGTGGGGGGTGGAGGTGACTGGGAGGTAAATTGGTTTTTGGCTGTGTGGCCAATCAAAGGGACCTCATCAAAGTCATCCAACCAGGGCTTCCCACAACCTTCCTTGCCTCTTTTCTTCTGTTTATGTAAGTGCCACACAGCGCAATCAGCAGGGCCTGAACAGAGAGAATGATGGCTGAAAGAAAGAAGAGAACAGAGGAGTTGGAGATAGAGGAAAGCACCAGGACAGGAACAGGCGCCGGTGTTTGTGTAAGCAACGTCCGACCAAGGAGGATGAGGAAGGAGGGAAAATGGCAGCGGACAGCAGAAGTGAGGGGTTTCAGAGATGAGAGAAGAAGTCCAGTCAGGAGGGATGTGGTGGAGCTGTGTTTACAGGCCTCAGTCACACAGTGTACTGTGACTCGGTGCGTCAGCAGCTCAGAGTTTGTGATGGGCGACCGCAGCAAACCAATAATCAAGCAATATTTACACCACTATAGACAATTAGTCTTTTTCTCAGGAAGTGCAACACTTCGGTTTCTGAAGTTAGAAACAACAAAAGCAACACTTCTTCCATCAGTGGCTTTGTTGTAGAATTTTTTTGGAAACACAAATAGGAAGAAAAGGAAGTGGAAGCTCCTTCTTCTAAACATCTAGTCGTATATACATCCATTCATGCAAACACTGATCCCTGTTGTGCCGTGTGGTCCCCGCCGAGACACATGGCTTAGGTATCCCCCTTGTGATCCCCCATTAGTAGGAGACTCCCTCACAGGCAGCTGCCTCAAAGCTCCACAGAGGTATCAGATCTCCTCCTCTTCCTCCTCGCCTTAATTAGCCCAATTAAGAGATTTACAGGACAGATGGATGGAAATCCAGCTGGCTGCAGTGCCTGCCCCTGAGGACGGCTCTGCTGATGATGAGGTGAGATCTGACTGAGAGCCGGAGAGAGAACGTCTACTGACTAGTGGGACTCTGGTGCCCTCTTGTGGTTGTCGGTGTTTACAGGTGGATAACGATAAGCTTGGAGTGGTTTGAGAGATGTGAAAATTAAATATTACAAGTGTGTACTTGTGTGTTTTATGCTTATTTAATAAGTGGACTTCAGATAACAAAATGGGTTTCAACACTCACTCCTCGACTTTAAAAGTATATACCTATTATGAGTTAGTCTATTTAGTTTTACAGCAATTCATTAAACTCCTTTCATTGACGAGATTGAAGTCAGAGGAGCCATTTATGTGAAACATTTAAACTGGAATATTTAAACTGACTTTAATCTCAACTCATGAACACATAATGATTTGAACTGCTGAACTTGTTAAAGTTCTGTTATGTTAAACTCCACCGTGATTCTTGGCACATTCTGGTTCCATCCATCCATCCATTGTCTATACACCGCTTAATCCTCACTAGAGTCACGGGGGGGCTGGAGCTTATTCCAACTGATTTAGGGTGAAGGCAGGGGACACCCTGGACAGGTCACCAGTCTATCACAGGGCTACATTTAGAGACAGACAACCAAGCACACTCACATTCATACCTACGGACAATTAAGAATCACCAGTTATCCACAACATGTTTTTGGACCTTGTGGGAGGAAGCCAGAGAACCCGGAGAGAACCTGCAAACTCCACACGGAAAGATCCCGGTGCCCTCACCGGGACACGAACCGGCGACCTTCTTGCTAGGCAACGATGCTAACCACCGATCCACTTTGCAGCCCAGTAATATAAAGTACATGGGGATGAACAAACACTGTAGAAGTTTATTGTCAAAACGGAAAAAAAAAAAGAAAGAAAGAAAATAGCACCATAGCAAAGCTGTAGTACCTTTCCATTACACAAAATGTCACTTAAAAATATCACAAGTAATCTGAATACCTGTTGATAGTTATAAAAGTGTAAATAACAAATTGAAATTGAAACAGTTGAAACAATACACAGATTAGAAATTACTGTACAAAACCCAAACTACACCTTAGTTAGTGAGCATCGTTAGGGAGTGTTGTATCAAAATAGAGGATTCCCTAGTTTTGGTTAGTTTTAATCAGCTAAACATGCAGGTGAAGATTTGGTTTCTTTCCAAAACGACAAAATGAACAGAAATATCTTTTTTTAGATTTAATAAAATAAAAAGTAACACTTCTTTGTGAGGTTAAAATGCAAAATAACTCAAGGTTTTACAGCTCTTGTAGCGACTCAGAGCCTCTGTAACGTAGCGCTCCATTGCTCAGCCACCTGCAGACAAGACAAGGCAGTTGTTCATTGCAGTGGAGGCACCTGCGGTTAAATTCCATAAGTGACTTGATTCTCCACATCAATGCAACAAATACTGTAAACACTCACATGTTCAGGTTGCCTTTTTTCTGTTTTATTCCTGTGAAGAAAAAGGTTTAAATGAAAGTCGGAAAGTTTGTTGAGTTTTAATGAGAAGCGACGCTGCTCGGTACACTCACGTCGAAGCTGCCACATGGTTACTACGGCAACAGCCACCATCACCAGCACCACTGGCACAATGATGGCAGCCAGGTGACCTCCGTGACTGTCATCAGTACTCACCTAGCAGAGAGGATTTATACATGTAGTTAAAGTCTACCTGAACAAACCCAAACCTCATATTCTAAAGAACAATCAGCTACTTTTGCTTCTTTTTGAGGATTTCCACTATTTTATGCTTCTGCTCAGTTCTATACACATTATCCATCATGGCGTTGCTCTACATTTACTATACTTCTCTATTTCTGGTCTTGTTTGTTTTTTGTTTTTTTTGATGCTTCATTTGTATCTAAGCTGCTGTAACATGAATTTCTCTGATGAGGGATAATGTTATGCTTTTGACTATATTTATTTGAGAGCTTTAGATATTTTACATCTTCAGATTAATACAAACTGTAGTCAACAAATGCAATATTATTACTAGATCAGCAAATGACCCAGCAGTAGATAAAATCCAGCTGCTATATTAAAGTGATAAACATAGTAATGAATCAATTAACTAAACCATCCATCCATTATCAATATACTGCTTAGTGCTCACTTGGGTACGGGGGGGCTGGAGCTTATCTCAGCTGACTTAAGGTGAAGGCAAGAGACACCCTGGACAGGTCACCAGTCCATCACAGGGCTACACTTAGAGACAACCAAGCACACTCACATTCACACCTATGGACAATTTAGAATCACCAATTTTTTGGACCGTGGGAGGATGAGCGGGACGTGAACCAGGGATATTCTAGCTGCGAGATGCTAACCACAGAGCCACCTTAACCAAACTCAACTTAACTAAACCAGTGATATATTTTCTAAACCATTATTAGTACCTTCCACTTTTGGTAATGTATTTGAATGCCAGTCAGAATTACAATGCAAGACTTTACTTGCAACAGAGTATTTCTACAGCCTCATATTGGTGCTTTTACGTAAGTACATGATCTGAGAACTTCTGCTGATGCCCTCGAGCAAACGTTCTGGCTGCAAAACCAAGACCATAAGCTACAAGCTCTGTAGGTTTGTCTTTGTAAGTGAACCCTTTAACATTAGTTTGCAAACATATTGTAAATATTGCAAATGTAGCTATTTATTGCTTCTTCTTATTTTCATTGTTCTAGTTTGTACAGAGAGCTAAGATTCAAATTCAAAGTCAAACTCCTTGTTTGCGTGTACAGACTTGGCCAATGAAGTTGATTCTGATTCTGATTCTGATCACCCAAATCACTGGGTACTTGAGTCCTCCTTTGATACTTACTATGGCATCAGTGTCAGGTGATACGGTGGTGAGGAGATTATCACTCTGATGACCTGTCAGGCACAACCACGAAGGAAAACAGCCAAGGAGGAAGTTTAAAAAGTGTTGCTTTTCACATAACTGCTAAACACGCAGAAACAACACATCTAACAAAAGAACCGAGCTGAGAAATAGCCGGACTTCCTGTTGTTTCAGGAACTGTGACTGTGTTTTAATAAAGCTGTAGTTCATTTATATTTTTGGGCTGCCTTATGGAGTGTGAAGAAGGGGCCACTACTTCTGCTGTCACAGAAACCGAGAAGAAAACAGTTTGTCATTTGTTCATGAATCATGCTGGAAACACGAATGTAAAGAGTCCTGTTCTCTCTGGTTCCCTGCAGTGACACGCCACCAAAAGAGCAAGAACACCAATAATAATAATAATAATAATAATAATAATGTTTTTTTTGTGTTTTTTTTAAACACCTGTTTCTCCAGTGGTGATCGTGAGGACATTGCTGGCTCTACTGGTTCCCAGACTGTTCTTAGCAAACATGCGGATGTTGTACGTTGAGGGATTTATCTCTATGATCGTGGCCTCTGTCTGGTTGGGGCCGAAGTCTACAACAGTCTTTGTGTAATCCCACGAAGCTGGAGGAAAAAACATTTTGCATAATATTACAAAACACTAAAAGGATGCACAGAGTGAGTTTAGCTTCCAAGGTTGCAAGTGAAGTGTAGAAGCAGAGATTTAAATCTTTCTCTCACCATTCACTGCTTTGTACTCCAGGTAGTAGCCAGTGACGGGGCTGTCACCTTCAAATCCAACAGTCCAAGAAAGAGAAATTGTATTGTCTTTCACCTCCTTTAATTCAACTACCGGGGGATCCGGAGCCACTAAGCAGCACACAGCAGCTGGGACATTTAGCAAAGAAAAAAAAAATATTTTATTTTTCATATTTTATATCGCTCTGTTTACTTTTGTGAATTTAAAAGTGTTTGTTCTGCAGAAAGACTGATATTGGAGCTGTAAATATTGGGTCTTCTCCTCTGGGAAACTAATACAACACCATGTTGTGGATTTCAGAGAGACAGCTGAAAGCCCTCAAAAAAAAAAAAAAGCATTGCAAATAAAAACAAAGCAGCTCTAAACTGAAAAATAAACTGTTTGGTGTCATTGAAGCAAATTGTCTTCTTGTTAGGTGATTGTAATCAGTTACAATCAGATTGTAGTGAGAAGAGAATCTTAGCATCGTAGACTCTGTCGGGGTGGACTAATTCTTCATTTAAGAGAGTTTTGCCAGTTCACTGAAACCAAAAACTCCATAGAAAACTCATGAAGTACCTGATGTGATACTTGCGGTGCTTTCTTCCCAGACTGTGGCCACAGAAGTCGTTCCAGGTGTTGAAGTTGTGTGAACTTGGGACAGGGTGAAAAAGTCATTCCAGTCATAATCAATTATTTACTGAAGAAATGATTCAGGAAAACGTCCGTTTCAGCAGCTCAGTAGCACATACCTGAAGTAAAACCTTTTATCTGTGTTGTGGCAGTGGTGGAAGAAGACATACTAGTTGCCACTGTGGTTTTGTGAACTTGAAACACAAAAGAAGATGTTAAACTGGTATGAAATAAATGATTAAATTCATGATTTCAGTCATGTTATGTTTCCTACCCTTATCCAGAGTGGAGCAGAGAGGTGCAGTTGAGGCAGGACCTATTCCTGCATTTGTTTTGGCCTGTATAAGCACGCCGTACATTGTAGAAGCCTTCAAATTCTGCAGGGTGACACTCTCCTGTTCACGTGTGGCCATCACGCTTAAGTGCTGCCACCGTTTAAACTGTCTGCCTGTGGAGTCGTACTCTCTGTAGCTGATGCTGTAAGTCCGCAGGACGCCGTTTCTGAGATCGGCCTTCGGAGGCTGGTCAAGAAAAAACGAACGCTCTAAGCAATGTCCACTCATGAAGTCGGGATTAAAGGAGGTCACAGTATCAAATATCCAGACACATTTTTGAGAATATTGTTGAATGCGTCTGCAAATAAAGTTCCAAAATCAGGACTTTACCTTCCAAGTAACTTTCATACTGTGAGGACTGAGGGCTTCAAGCTGCATGTCCAGTGGAGGACCGTCTGGTGCTGCAGAGAAAATCAATTTTAAATGGGGTCACTCTATCAAACATAGCTCTAGATAATTCTAGTTTTGTTCACATAAACAAATAATGTCAAAAACTACCTGCTTCTTTAGTTGTGACCGTCAGAACGTTGCTGGATTCACTCATGCCCACACTGTTGATGGCAAACATGCGAAGGTTGTAGGTCTTGGATGGACGCAAATCCACCAAAGTCACCTGAGTCAGTTCAGGATTTGACATTTCAGTTCTTACTGCTGTATCCCAGGAAGCTGTGCAACAGGGATGCATGGATGAGACGCAAAGTGCACACTCGAAAGCACATTTCAAAAGATATAATTAGCTGACTAGAGTCCACATTTTAATAGGATTAGTGGGATGCCTTTCTTGTACTTACCCTGTTTGTTTTTTAGATCAATCCTGTAGGCTGTAATGGGCCTGCCGCCATCAAACACAGGAGTCCAGCGAACAGTGATCGTTCTTTCCTTCACCTCTCTCGGCTCTACCTTCAGGGGATTAGGCCGCACTGAAAACAAGTTATCAATTACAAAACAAATAATCTATTCATCTTTGAACCGATTTTGATACCTCGAACATATGAATTTTCAGAGATGATCTCAGTCTTTCTGTGAAATTTATCCTAAATACTAATAAAAACATCTTTTTTTTTGCTTCCCCTCACTGATTAGAGCTCATCTTTGCTGGACTCACCTGCATTTACAGTCAGAGTCAGCTGATGTTTGTGATCATTGAACCAGCCTGGTATCTCCACACGGCAGCCGTACATCCCAGAGTCACTCTCCTCTACCTGCCTGATGGTCAGCGACACATCACCGTCGCCCAGATTACCCACGAGCAGGTAACGCTCGGACAGTCGGCTGATCACCGACTCCCCGTCTGTCTTGATCACCTCGCCGGCACATCCTCTGTTGGGTATGGCTCCCCGACCCCAACATACAGGCAGCTTACCGTAGTACTGAGCATCGTAGTTGCACGTTAGAGTAACATCTGTTCCCACTGTGGCTATTGTGATCTCTGCAGACACACAACCTGAAAAGGCAAAGAGAGATTTCTGTTCATTTATCATCACTGAATGAAATTGCACTTCATCTGCATGACTGTCTTACCTAAAAGGAGACAAACAAGAAGATTGCAACACAAAACCAGGTGCCTGCTGCCCAAAATAATCATTTTACAAACTCTGGTCTCTGAATCCGTGGAAGGATTTGTTCACCTGCTACACAACACTAAACCAACCGCAGTGTGGTTGCAGCTTTGAAATCTTTCCACATCACATGACGCTGTCCTTGATATGCTCACACAAACAACTTCTGCTGGCAGAAGAGGAAAGTAGAAAAGAGCTGTTTCCTTTTCTGTGGTTTTGGTTCCTTCTACCAAAAGTAGCACTTTGTTTCATTTTATGATGAGACAGAGAGAAAATCAAGGTTATTGACACGCCATCCTTCGTCTTGTTTGTTTTCAGGGCCTGTAGTAGGGATAGAAAGACGTTTTTAAAAATTTGAACATTCATACTCTTTGAATCCAGAGAGAGACGGCAGTGAACTGTGCTCCTTTTGAAACTGAGCACAACCAGAAAACTCATTTGTGCAGGTAGAAAATAGAAAAAAATAGCTCTTAAACACTTCAGACCTAACTTCTATCAGCAGACTGTGACACACAAGACGGTTTTAGATGTAGATGCACCTTTGTTTCCCAAATACATATTGTGCCCTCAAATGTAACACAGATGAAAATAGAAAGTCTGGTTTACTCAAGGGCTGTGGTCTTTTTCTTTTTTTTTTCTTTTTTTCTTAGACTGCTGAGTAAACATTTGGGTCAGCTGGATGTTTAGTAACCCGGCAAAGAACTTCCTCTGTAATTACCCCCAGTGAAACATGTGGCTGGTAGTTTGATGCAACAGTATTTCAAGCAAGAAAGCGGAACATCATTTGGATATTGCAATTATCTGTAGGACTGAATGCAGGAAAACATGTTATTTTACTTTCTTACCTAAAGTGACTGTAGAAACAAATGTAACTGATTCAGTAAAACATACAACTTAAGACATATCTATGAAAGTCTAACTAAACTCATACAGGTAGTTTTTTTTTTTGACTGAACTGTGCAAATGCAAAAAGAGACGGCAGTCAAGGAGAAAATGACAAACAGTAAAATAAGAAAACATACAGAATTTCAGCACTACAGATTACGATAAAGATGCTGACCTCTTTTATTGCCACACTGATTCATAGAATAAAAGCACAGCCAAGAAGAAGAAAATACTTTTTATAGTATAATAGTAATAAAAATAAAAAACGTAAAAACAGGAGCTTCAACAAAAACAAACAGAGCATCTTTCTTCCAATGAAACAGAAGACAATTCTGCATAATTGTTTTTTAATGCAGCGTGGGATCTCTCCAGGTTCTTCGGCTTCCTCCCACACAGTCCAAAAACATGTTGAGGTTAATTGGTGATTCTAAATTGTCCGTAGGTGTGACTGTGAGTGTGCTTGGTTGTCTGTCTAGCTTGTGTAGCCCTGTGATTGACTGGTGACCTGTCCAGGGTGTCCCCTTCACCCTAAGTCGGCTGGGATAGACTCCAGCCCCCCCGTGACCCTAGTGAGGATTAAGTGGTGTATAGATAATGGATGGATGGATGGATGTTTGAATTTAAAAACAATGAAATAACCTTTTGATCACAAACAAGCATGCGTTGAAACTGATTGCAATCATGGACGATTAGTGTGTATGAATATTTCTGATGATTTGAGATGAGCGTACAGTATTTATGATATTGAATCCAGTAGGTGGCATCATGTTCATAATAAACCAGCGACATGTTTTTTTCAAATTTTTTTTTTGAGGCGGTGATTAAAGATTAAATTTGCTATTAAAGAACAGATAGGAAAACAAGAAAAGGGAATTTAATTAACCTGCAGGATGCTCAGCCAAACATGACCCACATTTGCCCTTTTTACCGCAATCTGAGAAGGAGGAGCCGTGTTGTTTTTTATCATCTTCATGGAGTTTAAAAGGTTTCTCTTTACATAAATATCATCACAGAGAAAATGTGCACAGGAACTCTTTTATAAATGCTCCGAGTATATTAAGGGGAGTCCAAAGATTGAATAAATCACACCCACAGCTAGCAGAGAACGTTCCCACAACATTAGCGACAAGATCTAATCATGTAAGAAGAAAATGTTCGAATCTAATAAGGATGCTCAGAATTTCAAAAACATGTTCCTGTAAGGTCAAACGTTAACGGAGACTTTTAATTGCAACATTCAGAGGATGTGAGGAGGATGTTGACAGGATCAAGGGTTACGTTACATGATGACAAAGGAGTGAAAAAAACAACATTAGAAAAATGTTTGCAACGTGTTGTTGTGGCCTCAGATGTTAGAACGTGTTTTTATCAAGTGTTCCTATAATATGGAACATTTTTCCTGCAATATTCTGAGGATGTTTACGTATGTTGTTGAGGTAACACATTATTAAATGTTGGTCCGTTGGTAAATCTTCAATATTACATGATAAAGGAAGTGTGTTCTTGATGCGACATGTAGGAATTTTAGGATATTAATTCTTAAGAAGAACACTGTGGGAACTGAAAATAAAACACTGAAAACATTAGTAGAACATTGCAGACGTTTCTCAGAACATTATTAGAGGAAATACAACCTAGCTGGGCTGTCATTGGATGATTCTGCACAACTCTGACTTGCATTCTGGATTAAAGTTTTTCATGCTAATGCCAAATGTTTGAAATGTCTGCTCTGTCTGTGAATGTTGGTGCTGAATGTAAAACACACAAGATCCTCCCAAATGAACTAAGACAGAAGAAGGAAGGACGGCCCACTCTCTGTGACTTCAGCCGTTCACTGGGCCCATGCTTAAGGTGTAAAATTAAACTGAATGGCACATGAGTCACAAGCCGTAATCCATTTAACACTTGTGTGAAATAAAGCTTTGCAAGAAATAAAGAAGGAAATCGCTGCCAATGTTCTGCATTCCCAGGAAGGCTTAGATTATGTTGTTTTTTTGTGGAAGTGAATCTTTTCAGGAAGGGCTGGGCCAATTATAAAATACGCATCATGTTACTAAATAAGGCCAAATGTGCTGAAACATGCAGTATTCAGTAACATTTACACATTTTAAAAACTGCACTCAAACTTTGTGATGTTGGTGAATGTTGGCAACATTTCTGTAAGTAACCGACACACAGATTATAACATAAAATTAATTCTATTGCAAGTTTTAATCAAAAAATAATAATCAAATACATTATACTGTTTGTATGTAAAGCTGCTTCTAGCCCAATACTTAATAACCAAGATGTAGATCTGCGAAAACAGATTAGGGAAGCTTCATTTGTTCTTATTTAGTGCTGCCTTTTGGATTTTACCACATGGACGAGCACCACTCATGTTTCTGCAAATGTATGGAGGACTGGCATTTACGTTACTGGTGCCCAGACAAGCATGTGGATAAGAGAAGGATTAGAGTAGGGTTCATCAGATTAAGGCTGTGATACAATAGTTTAACCCTCCCTGTTCAGGACTTTCATGTTGCCAGACGTAGAAGGTCTTTCAGGCTCCACTGGACCCCAAGAAAGAATATGTGCAAAATAATTGTTGGTGTTCATTATAGATTTTAATACTGTGTTAAATAAATTTTCTGTATTTTTGGTTCCAAATGCATGACAAATGTCCCTCTTTTTATATTTAAAATAAAAACAACCAATACCTGTCACCTGAACCGAATGGTCCGGGGTCCAAAAGACCTACCAAGTCCTGAATAGGGCTAAATAACATCTGTGTAGAACATTGCTTAGCTTTTAACAGATTTAAAACCATTTTGTTTTGTATTTTGCCATTTGCCCGCCCTTGAGCCAAAACGTCACCTCTAAGTTGTGAGTAATAAATATTTTCTTACTCTTGCATTTCTCCAAATGGTGCAATCCTAATTAGTGTCTTAAAATGCAACGTTAAAACTAACTTAAATGAAATTTTCTAGATTTTTAACCTTCTTTGATTTATCAGTCAGAACAACTTTAGTGTCGGCTGCCTGAAAATAATCATTTTGCAACTCTGGTCTCTGAATCAACAGAGGGATTAGTTTCCCTTCAGAATCTTTCTAAATGACACAGTGAAGTCCTGACTTTAATAAGCCAACACAAATTATTTATGCTATCTGGGGATGTTGATCCTCAGAAGCAGCAAATAAACATCAGTCCATGAAGAGTGTAGAGATCAGTAGCTGAATCAAATCGATCAATTACTTCTTATGCGCTAAATGTAAGACGTGCAAAAACCAGATTCCCTTTGATTCTCTGTCTCTGTATTGATGGTCAGGATGCAAATCTGAGCAATTTTCAAAGTATACATTGGGTTTTTTTTTTCAGCGACTATCATACAAAGAAAGAGGTTTACCAAGAAATTAGGACAGACACTGTGTAAAACTCTAGTTTACTGAAGGGTCATGGACTTTTTTTCACCTTCTAGACTGCTGAGTAAACATCTGGCTCTGCTGGATGTTTAGTAACCCTGCTCAGAACTTCCTCTTTGGTCACTCCCAAAGATTTCTGGTTCGTACAACAACTCCCTGCTTAAATTAAAATACAAATACAGTCGACCTCACATCCTTCCATTAGAGAAAAGGCAAAATTCACAATAGTCACTCAAATAACTAGAAAGTGAAAGAAGTAATAATACATTTTTAAAAAATGCTGAATACTAATTTAGTGAAATAAGACATTACTTTTGAATTGTGGTTGAAAAGAATAATTAAAAAAAAGAAAAAAAAACTGTCCTGGACAAATTAGAGCACTTTGCTGATGAGCAGTGGGCCAAAATCAAAATACCTGTCAACAGGTGCAGAAGTCTGATTGGGTTACAGAAAACACTTGATTACAGTGATTGGCTCAAAGGGATGTTCAACAAAATATTAGTTTACAGGTCCCATCACGCTTGTTTGCTTGTTGCTGTTTTCCTAAATACAGATTTCTGTTGAACTACAATTCAAAATTCAAAGAGTAATAAAATGAAAGTACAAAGTCTTTCTAGAAATATATTTCACAAAGCTGCACACAGCATCAGTGATTTCAAGGAAAAACAAAAAGTGAATACATTTTAAATGATTTCCTCCCATCAGTCATGAGACTTGTGTGTCGCAACATTTGATTTTTAAACAAAATTCAGTTTTCTGCTGGTTCTCTCATAGGAAAAATACACAGAAAATTACGAGAGCAGCTCCTTTTGTATAAAAAATTCACTAAACAGGAAGAAATACAACTAATTCAAACTTATTTTACTTTGCTGAATAATTTTGGTTCTCAGTGTTTCACTGTTAAATTGAGTCATGTCGCCTCATCAGTCTATTTTATCAAAATATTAATGTAAATGTGGTAAAAAAAAATAAAAATAAAAAAAAAACATTTAAAAAAGGGGTCTGTCTGTGTGTTTAGCTTGCTCTTCATTGACCATAGTTTTGTGATTTACACTGGCAAATATATACCGATATATCTCTGGGCCTCTCATAATTTCAACTTCCATCTTCTTTTACCGACCAAACTGTGTTTTTCACATTTCTGAGGACTGAATAACAGCATTCAGTCAGTCCAGTAGGTGGCATTGTGTCCACAAGTATAAACCAGTTGCATGCTTTTCAAGGCAAAAACACAGAAAAAAAGGAAAATAAAAGCAAATTAATTAACGTGCGGGATAGTTTTGCATCTTCTGACTCACATTTACCCTTTTTACTGCCATCACTGCTGCTTCACTGTGGAAATGGGTCATTTTTGTTCTCATATTCATAAGAGTTCAAAGAGTTAATAAGAAGATGGAGATTTTTGACAGAGAAAACGTTGCAGCCCGAAGTTGCTCGTAGAAATCTGCGTTACGCTGGCCATCATTACGGCACTGGCATGCTTTCATAGATATTCTCGGCAGTTACGGTGTTGAGACGTTGTCCATCATCCCTGGACAGAAACATCCTCCCTGGTTTGAAAAAAATGCAAACATGAAATGATTTTTTTTTCAACCCACTCTGTGACTGCAGCTGTTCAATAGACGCCCACTTTTAATGTAAAATTAATCTGGCAGATGAGTCACAAACTATAATCCATTCCATACTTACGGAAAATAAAGACGAGGATTATGATTATGGGGAAGAAGAAAATAGCTGTCACCCTGCCAATGTTCCCCACTGCCAGGAAGCCTTTGAATTTCTCCTGCAAGACGAAAAGAATCTTATCATGAGGGACTCGGTCAATTATTATTAGCATATACTGTAGTTTTTAATATGTGCCATAAATACATGCGATAAAATACGGTATATGAAAATGTATGTTTAAAACTGTAATAATCTCTGTAGTCTCTATTTCTCACCTCCAGCTTTAACCCACACCTACGCATGAGCAAAACAATATGATTAAATGTATAGAATTGTCAATAAATAAGTGTGAAGCGGCACTTTGTTTTCATTTATGATTCATATTTTGCCGCATAATTCTTACAATAAAATGTTTCTGAAAAGATGTAAATGAATAAAAAGATTTTATTAGAGCTGTGACTTAGTGGTTTATTTTTTTTCATTTCGATGCCTGATTGCAGGTCAACACTTTTACGGAGTGCATTTTTCTTCACAGTTTATATAAGAGAAAAAAAAAAGAAACACTTCAGAGACAAAAACAACGTAGATTATGACTTGATTCACCTGAGAGTCCTAACGCACTTTAAAAAAGTATGATTTTCTTGGTAAATGTGAACATTTTTTAAACAATAAATAGCATTTCCTCTTTTAAATAAAACAGAACCATACCTCAGCTCTTACACTCCCGGTTAAGCCAGCGTTGGTCCATGTTGGTTCATCATCTTCCACATTTTTTGTTTCAAACGTTGTCGGCGTTTCTGTAAGAAGTTGAAGCTTTCTGTTAGTGCCATCCATAAAAAAAAAAAAAAATTAAGTTTTATTCTGATTTCAAATGAAAGAGCTGCTTAAAGATTTGCAGAAACAATCGTGCATCATTTAGATCTACATGAGCTCTTTGTACCTTCATTTATCTACTTATGTATACCTGTTGGGTCACCTTTTCCCTCAGCAGTAGAAAGTGTACTCTGAACAGGCGGTTCCACGGGAGCTGAAAAAGAAATGTCATTTGGTTGAACTGAAAAACATCAAATGATTCCGATCACCTGTTGTGGTTTGTATGATCATTACCTTCCTCCATGAGAAGCTGGATGTTGACCTTATAGTCATTGAACCAGCCGGGAATCTCGACCCTGCAGCCGTAGACACCAGCATCAGCCCACTGAGCGTCCACGATGGTCAGGGAAGCGTCTCCGTCTGTCACCCGGCCCGGCAGCTGGTACCTGGGGGACTGCCGGAAGGACACAGCCCCATCCTGGGAGGAGAGGATGGTGCTGGAACATTTGGACCGAGGCACCTTCTCTTGTCCCCAACAGAAACTCAGGACGCCATGAGTTTGGGCGTCATAAACACACGGCAAAGTGACATTGTGCCCAACCAGGCCGATGACTTTGAAGGTGGCTGAAGACGCTGTGAGGAGACGGCACAGATTTGGATCAAACCGGATGATGCAGATTGCACGTTTTATTCTGAAGCCCATGGCTGCGCCCACACTCCTCCTCACACCCCTCCAGCAACAAGCCCACGACAAATTGCACAAAACAAAAAAAAGAACAAAATATCGACTTACCTCGGCTCAGGATCAAGAGGAAAAAATAAGAAAGACCCCGCATGTGTGTAGGCTATTGTATAACAATGTCCTGAAGTGAGGATACAATGAATTTCTCCCCCCACACACTCTGCAGGGTGGACGGTAGCATAAGCTGAAGACTTAACTTCCCTTTTTCTTTAAGTCAGGAAGGAAATCAATATGAGTCTTGTCTGCATTTGGACTGGAGTTCTTGAGCCCACTGGAAAAAAGAATCTGCCTTATCTGCTGTTATCAAAGTTTATCATTGGAGATATAAAACTCAGCTATGTCCTGTAAAAAACAGACATGTGAAAATATTACACACTGCAAAGCATAAACACAGCATGCAAGCCTGCATTTCTTCAGTATGGGAAGTTTTAAATGACAGACACTTAAACCGGAACTATGACCGCTGAGTAATGGTTATATCTGGCACAAGCACTTCTCGTTTAGTCACATCTTATTAGGTCACTATAATTTTGTAGAATTGATGGCGTGATTCCTGGCATTGCTCCGATAGATTTTTGCAGAGGGATCATTAAAGTTTTATCTTATCTTCAGCAATAATAGTGGTAACCGAAGTAGCAGCAATACTGCAAGACTGTTGTTGTAATTTGGCTGGAATAAATTGTTCTCTTCTGGCCCGGAAAGTGGCGTGTCCCCATCTTGGCTCTGAGATGATTTCCTTAAAAAATGGTTATGTAGGATTTATTACAATTACTCAGTGCACCAACAATAATGTGTGTCTTGTTACTAAAGTTTCCCTTCATTAAGAGTATTTTTTGAGCGTTTTCCAGCCTTTATTACAGGGACAGCTGAAAAGAGACAGGAAAGAGGGGAGGAAACAGACATCCAATTATGTTTGAGATTCTCCTCAAAGTGACTAATAAAGCTGAAATCATTTATTCTGTCAGTACTGATTATCTTTGTTACCACATGTGGCTTCTTTTATTTGTTTTGCACGGCTCTTTACTCTCATTATTTCTGGTGTTTCTGTCTTAGTCTACTTTTTTTTTTTTACAAACATACACTTTAGTGCATCGCAAACATCACTGCAGTGCAGAAAGGACATATTCTTTTTTTTTAACATGGACCAAACTGACTTTTGTATGTGTTGTAAATGTTACACAGATACCCTCTGCCACAGGATTTATTTCTGCCATTTGTTTTATTGGTTCAGTATGAACTAATGCTCGGCAAAACAGGTCAAATTCCCCTTTGCAGGCTCCAGTTAGCATCTGTGGATGTATGTGCATATGTAATATACCGTGTGTGTGCGTGCTCATTGCCATGTGACGATTACGAATGGGAAGGAAGTGTGTGGCATGTGGATATATGAGGACAGCAGTCTAGAAAAATATTTTGTCTTCGCCAGCTTTTATCTGCCCTCCGCTCACCTCTGACAGGCCCGTCTCCACCTCCACTTGTCAACGCTGTCAGCCGCCACCGAGCTGCTCGAGCGCTCCATAGATCACTGTCCTCCCACTGGGATCTCCTGCGGTTTGTCAATTATCACAGCTGCAAATCAGTTCTCAGATTGTGTCTGACAAACAACAAACAAACCTTTTAAAAGACACACGAGCGGTGGTGAGAGAACTTGAAGCAACTCTTGTCTCTTAGACATTACATTTCTTGTGCAACTAAATTGCAACAGCAAATATGTTTTGAAGGAAACACAGCTGCATCCAGATTTAGTTTTTAATCAACTTAACAAGGACGTATTGTTAATGCACATATTTGGGAAGCTGATATTTTCACTGGTCTGTGTAATGCTTTGCAGTTCTTTGTTCAATTGACACCATCAAAAAGAATCAAATCAAACTTTCATAATTTCTTTTTTAATTGGTTCACAAAGGGATCATCAATTTTCAATCATTCACATTTAGGTTGTTGCTTTAGAATTAGATTTTTGAACAAAAGTAAAATTAATCAGTCTTTTAATTTTCCTTCTCTGTCCTGCTTGTGGTTGGACTGTACCATTATCACCCAGGGAGAGTCTACAGCCAGCCACAGATGCAGCAGCACACTTTTGTCATGCGTGTTGCTTCTCTGACATTGCAATAACCTGATTTATTGTTTACACTTGTTTTGAAGGAGGCGAATGTGAACATTACTCATAGACTGGAGTCAATGCACTGTTATTGTTTAGATTAAATACAGAGTAGCAGCCTTCAGAGCCTCTTCCCCCATCCACCTGCAAAAACAAAGATAAGAACAACATTACAAAAGTGTCAAACAATGTATAGTCTGTCTCATTTTATTAATGCCTAACGTATAGTGTAGCTGGTTAGCCGTGACACATAGTTAAAGTGACTAGGACTGTGGCTAAATGTTAGCTACCCCTCTGGGCACTAATGGTACAGTCCAACCACAAGCCAAACACAAATTTGGACAATTAGAATAATGGGACTATGTAATTCTGAAGCAATAACCTAAACATGAGCATTTAAAAATGAAGCCAGAATACGATTATCCGAGAAAGACAGAAAAAAAAAAGAGGCCCATGTAAGTTCTAAACTCATGTTTCATTTTGATGGTGTCAACTGAACAAAGACCTCCAAAGTGTTACACAGAACCCCCGATTACACCAACAAGGATTTTGATGTCAGTTTTTAGTTGGAAAACTGGGTGACAATTGATCTAAATGACTTCTATTCTCCCTCCTTTCAACAGGCTAAAATGTGGTTGTATCAGTGTGTCAGAAAACACAAATGTGTTTAGTTATTTAATGTTTAATTAGTTTTAGATGACTGGTTTAAATATAGCTTAAAAGAGAAAGATTTGTCCGCCTGGTAGGAGAACTGTGGTCTACACAGAGACATAGTTTAAACATGTTTCATGTCCATCCATCCATCATCTATACACCACTTAATCCTCACTAGGGTCACAGGGGGCTGGAGTCTATCCCAGCTGACTTAGGGTGAAGGCAGGGGACACCCTGGACAGGTCACCAGTCTATCGCTGGGTCACACTTAGAGACAGACAACCAAGCACACTCACATTCACACCTACGGGCAATTTAGAATCACCAATTAACCCATGCTGTGTGCAAACTCAACGCAGAAAGATCCCAGTGTCCCCACCGGGACACGAACCATAGGGGCCTTCTTGCTGTGAGGCAACGGTGCAAACCACCGAGCCACCTTGCAGCCCCATATTTCATGTTTTGTATAAAATGGCATAAAGATAGACCTTTACAGGCTGTGTGCTGCCTATAAAGTGAATGTTCAATCTTAACATCTTTAAAAGGTTTGGGTTAAAACTGTTCTGAACATGGTTTCACTGATGACCGTAGTTGCTTTTTAAACATCTTTTTAACTAAATGCTCTCTAGACTGAACTTATCAGTAACATGGTCACTGACAACTTGTTTCCTTTTTGTTCTTTTATCTGATCTCGTAGTACAGTGTAGTGACTGCATCATTTATGCATGTTTTTGTGGTTAGATTGAGGTGCTTACATCATTTGGTTACAGCTGGGGAAGATCTTGGTCTTCTTCAATGCAATAAAAGTCGATAATGACCATAAATGCAAATATACAACATGTGTATTTATATTCATCAAAACCACAATCTTTCTCAAACCTTAACCAAAGCTATTTTATTGCTCAAATCTAAGCACAGACTGGATACAAAGGTTTCTGATATGAGAGTCGAGCACTCTGTATGCCCGTCATCCACCTCAATAACCTCCTGCCATTTCTGATGCAGTTCATAAACGTCACATTTCATTGATTTAAAAGTTGCCTCCAGCTGTAAATTTGCCATAAATCACGTTACACCTAAACTTAAAACTATTTCAGTAATAAAATGTAAAGCCATAAAGTCGTAAAATAACTTACTGAATGCAGTCTCTCCCTTAGATTGTGTTTTTTCTTTTTAATATCAGAAAATAAAGCCTTGTTAAGGAGCCTGCGCTCGCTCAGACAGTAGCACCACTGCTTTGTCCTTAAAAACTATAGTTATTTGCTCAAACTTTGCTCTAGTACAAAAGGAGTCCTGTTTACTTTGATTTAATGTCAGGGGATTCAACTTGGAGCCGCTGTCAATCTGCAGTACAGATAAAAGTTTAAAAATGGCATTCAGACCAGAAAAAGTGGTCTCGGGCCAAAATGCCAGCACTAACAAATCTATGGCTGAGTGACTTTTGCTGATGTCTGATAAAAACAGGAAAAAAGAAGAAGTGGGACTCCAGAGATCAGAGTCAGTGTCATTTTTAGAAGTCGTAAAGGACCTCGGTAGCCGCTGCAGTCAGCTCCAATTCTTGAAACTTGAACTAAAGCACAGAGAGGCTGATTTTAAGAGTGACTGGTACAATGACAAAATAGATACATCAACTTCATTCTTTGTCAATTTGAGGTTTCCTAAAGTGATCCATCACAGCAGGCGGATGAGAGACGCATCGATTTGCAATATTGCTGACGACAGAGGATTCACAGTTACCTTTGGAGCAAACATGCTGATCTGTCAAACGGCTCCTTGGTCCATCAGATGACCTCCAAAAACTAAATGTGTTTAAAAACCATCTGCAGGAGGCAATAAAGGATGTCCGATGTGCATGTGTCCAGTGGAAGAAGGTCATTGTTACATGAGCATCACTCATGGAAAAAGAATATACTGGAAGGTAAACATGTTGACTTAAAACTACAGAAAGAAACAGGCTGCACCACAAAATATCTGTGAGGGGCAGCAAAAGTATAATCCCAGAGTGAAATGTATTCACTGATTAAGTTATTCAACATGTTGATGCCCAGATCGAGACCTTGTGGTCACAGTGTTGAACAAATATTTTTGGCTCGACAGTTTTTACGTGCCCGTTGCTGTCCTCTAATGACAGCTTGTTTTTGCTTTGGCTTGTCAACGCTATCAGCTCGACGAGGTAAAAAGACCACCACTTGGCCACTCTCCTGATATTGAGCTGAGACCCCTCAGCCCCTCCAAAGGTGGATTTATAGCAGTGAAAGCACTAAAGTGACAAAGTCCGCCAGCGTCCACGCTAAATATGTATGTAGAGCGAAAAGGGGAAAGAAGATGACATTGTTACAAAACGACAACGTCAGCATTGGGAAGAGCTCAGAGCGGATGGACAGGTTAACAAAACATTGGATTTAAAC